TTTTTCGGCACTGCGCATGCGCGTTTTATTTTTACGTAATTTTCTTATCGTTGCCTAGCTTTGTACCAGTATTACCGTGAACGGTATAATATGGCCCAGCCCTAGATGTACATATAAGCCAATCAAATTTCTCCATTTACTTTGTAATGTGTAGCTATGGAGATGCCATGTTTTATTGAAATACACCGACACAAGTAATCACGCCTCTCTTTTCCTTCTTGTGGAATTAATGTGATACTTAAACATTATGTGTGATATATAAATAATATTTAAATAGTACAAACGTGACTTTTGGCAAATTTTAACAGCCTGAATCAGGAGAAACGATTACTGCAACAACAGTTACACCCAAGTTTAGATTTAGATCTTAGTTCATCTTAAAAAATAAATAATTAAAAAACCAAAGTTAAAAGAAAAAAAAAGCAGGAAAATAAAGAAAAAGAAGCAGAAAAAGCGAAAAGCAGCAAAACAAACTCCTCCCTCTGCGTCTGCTGACAGCAGCTCACCTCAAACGGGGGTCCCCGGGGCCCGTCCTGCTCTGAGCAGATACCCCCCGGCGATGGCCTCTTCATTCTGTCGGCCAGCACAGCCAGGCTGTCCCCGATCCTGTAAGACGAGTCCCAGTAGAAGTCCTGTAACTTCACGTCGGGGTACTTCATCTTCTTGTCCATGCTGGAGACTGCCGACGACTGCAGCTGGTGCTCGTACATCTTCAGAGGATCCTGAGCTGCCATGTAGAAGGCCTGCTGCTGCTTCTGCTGCTGAGGCTGCTTGATGGGCATCTGCATGGGAGACACCTTCTGCAGGGCCGCCTGGGCCTGGTTCCACATGTGACTCGACTGCTCCTGGACCTGCATGTACTGCTCAGGGCGGGAACACAACGAGAAGGAAACATCAGTCACTGCGTGGACAGTTCAAATCTGAGGCGCTCACACTCAGATTTCCACCTCTTAAAGTTTCCTAAATATAAAAAATACTCATGTTTTTGATATTTTGAGACCTGAAACCAAGTTACTGGATGTAAAGAGAGTAAAACACGCTGAGGTAAACAATGAGCTGCCTCAGTGTGACAGCCTAGGAGGGGTCAGCACAGGAGAAACGAGGCAAGCTGGTTGTGCTCCAGTTCATTAGTGATGCTCACTATAAAAGCTGTGAGCAGGAAAGAGGCACTCTGAGCATAAACATCACATTTCACTAAAAACATGGAAAAATACGTGTTTCAGCCGCGAGTTTAGGAGCCGAGTTAATCGCTCTTTCAGCTGATGACTCGTGCTCAATCAAATCACTGAAACAAAGGTAGTGACAGTCATGTGACCTGACCTGCTGCAGTCCCGGGTGGTGAGGCGGACTCTTTCCCATCCCAACCTGCTGGACTGGTTTGGTGGGTGACTGCTGCTGACTCATCGTCAGCTGGACTGACTGCTGCAAGGCCTGCTGGGAGGGAGTCTGAGTCTGGCCCTGCTGAGCCTGGGAAGGGCCGTGTCCCGAGGATCCCGGCCCCTGACCGGGCCCCGGCCCCTGACCGGGCCCCGGCCCCGAGGGCCTCTGCTGACTGTAGGGAATGTGAGACTGCTTCCCAGCTTGGACCTGGGAGCCCGCCTGGGTGTGGACGGGCTGCTGGAGGAAAGGCCCTGGGACGGACACACCGGTGGAGAAGGTGAAGCCCGGATTCACCTGGAGTCCAGGGAAGGCCACGGGAGAAGGGATCACATAGGCTGAGGGAGGGAAACCTGCAGAGGAAGCGATCGGGATCAGAGTTTGGAGCCACAGAGACAACAGAGATGAAGCTCACAGAGAGGCGCATTCGTTTAACCCTTTAAAGCCGGTCGGAGCAGCACGCTCTGTTTTGCGTTACTATTTTTAGCGCAATAAATTTTTTTGCATATGAAACCGGAGGAGTTGTACTTCCATCTTATGCCATCAGCTTGTCCTCGGTCACAGTTTCCTTCCACATATAACTTTGCAAAAACTGCATAAAAAGCGCTTGCAGCAACAAAAACATAATATTCCAGAAACACGCTTTGTTTATCCGATCAGCTGTTTCTAACACTTCCTATGTCCATCAGCGCGAACTATCGCATGTCCGCCATGACCTGCCCGAAACCGGAAGTGATGTCATTTCGCGGAAATGTAGTTTTTTACCATCAGGGCCTCATGAGCCTATACTGGTGTTTTTAAAAGTTATGTTTGACTTTATGACTTTCTGTGTGGTTTCTGGGATGCTTAGGACTCATATTGCACTGCTGGAAATAGTTTATTTTGATGCATATGCTGCTTTTTTGCAAATTTGCATTATAATATTTATTTTTGTTTTTCCTGCAGTGTATAAAAATTGGTGTATTTCAAAAACAAAACTATGAAGACACTCAAAATAAATTTCCTGAGGTGGGAAACTATTTTGTGCAACTTTTTTGTATTTACAGTTTTGAGGGATAAATCTCTTAAAATTCTCTAACTAGAAATATATGTTAAAAAAACAAAAACGATTTTCAATTTTTTTGTAGTTTATTGCACTTTTTTGCAATTTATGTAATTACTATGCACTTAATGCAGACATATTATTAAAATTTAGGCTGTAATGGTTGTATTGATGTATAGCAACTTGAAATGCTCCCAAAAATGGCTCCACAGCATGTAAACATATAATATAAGCTCTGGTGGACTTGGTTCTATGGTCGGTCTTAAAGGGTTAAGATGAGGTCGGCAGACCCACAGTTTGGTCTGAAGTTCAACAACAAAAAAAAACGTTTGGACCTTTAAAGATAAATGAGCTCAGTGGTTCAAACCCAGGCTGAGTGTGTGAAGTCTGCAGATTCTGCATGTGGCTGTGCTCTGGTCTTTCCCACCATTGAACATGCAAAAACCACCCTACTGGTGCCTCTGGGACCAGTTCAAGTTCAAGTTTAAATTTAAAGAAAAAGGTCCAAACGTACCGGGTCTGCTGGGCAGAGGCGGGAAGGCTCCTGGATGATGGATTGGGATGAACTGGGATGAGCAGGTGGTTTGAGTTTGAGTGACAGGAGTCTTCTTAGCCTCAGACACCGGAGTCTTCCTCAGCTCTGTCTGTGCCTTCACCTGAGCGAAAGGAAACGCATCATCACGCCGCCTCAACGACTCAAACCTGCAGCTTCATCAGTGGAAATATTTCAGCGTCTCTACCTGTTTTCCAGCATCGGCCATTTTCTCATGGACGCTCTTCTTCAGCTCGCTCTTCCTCTTACCGTCCCTCTTCAGCTCTCCTTTCCCAGCAGCCCCGTTGCCTTTGGAGAAGTCTCGGCGCTCCTTGCCACCATCTTTCTGATGGTGGTTTCTTGTGGGGTCACGGCTCTGCTCTCTGGGTTTGATGTTCTCTTTGAAGGTGACCACTGGACGGTCGCTGCTGTCGGGCCACGAGCTCTGAGTCTTCCCCACCGAAAGCACGGACTTCAGGCCGGAATTCCCGCCGTCGTTGGCCGTCTGCTCGCCATTCAACGACTCCTGCAGCACGGGCACCTCCTTTTCCTGCGGCTCCTCGATGGCCTCTTCTGGAATGTCAGTCATGAAGACGAGGAGGCCGTCCTCGCTCACTCTGCACTGGATCAGTCTGCAAAGGGGAAACGGCCATGACACACCAGTCCGTACACAGCACGGCGTCACAGGGCGGAGTCACACTCACCCCGGCTGGCTGTCAGCCACCCATTTGCCCAGGCTGACGAGTCTCTGGTGTCGGGCGTGCACCGGCAGGCCGTCCCGGTCCACCAGGATGCCCTGATGTCCTTTGGTGAAGTCCAGACACCTGAAACACAAACACACATCAGAACATCTGCGCTGACCAAACACTAGAGAGAGGGAGGCGAGTCGTTACCTCAGAGCAGGACGGAGAGCCAAGAAGCCCTGCAGCTCAAACTCCTCAGGCAGGGGTGTGACTGTGGAGACAACAAACATCCCAGAATCAAGAATGAACTTTGTAAAAAAATGAGATTAAAGGTTAAAAAACAAATGTTTTGGTTTATTCAGAGGATTTAAACTGTGAGGGTCGCAGGTTAAACTATTGCAGTGCCAACAGTGACCGAAGGGACGTCACTTCCTGTGAACTCTTTGTATCGAAACTGACTGAAAATGCAGCAGATGCACAACAGGGGGCGCCTGTGAACTAGCTCTCACTGTACACAAGCATTCGCCCTTAAAACGCCAGCATTCTGCTAATGCACGCCCACTAAAGATTTAGAACAGGACGCCGTCCCATGATGGCGCCCGTTTGCCGTCTGGAAGCAGCACATCTGGAGGAGGCTGTAAAGCGGCTTGTGGTGCTTTGATGCTTCCTAATTGTAGCTAACGCTGAAATGTTTGTGTGGGTTGCCATGACAACTCCAGAAGCACGTCTGAGATCGTTATATTGTTTTCTATTTGTTTTCTTTATTTGGTTCTCATGTTTGTGCACATTTGCAGTAGGAAAAGATCATCTATGAATCCAGTGATACATCTTCCTTATAAGAAATGTTTCTGTTAAAAAATTATTGTGAAGTAGTCACTTCCTGTGAGTCGCGGGAACCGGAAGTTGTGCGCGGGAGAGACAAGACAGAACGGTAACACGGCGGACTTTTCTACTGCTGGTTTTTCAAGGCGTACACGGTAAAAATCATTATGCTGTTATTTGTTTAATACTTGTGCACTTTGTGAAACGAAATAAGTGGCTGAGATGAATATTATATGTGCTATTGATATTATTTTACTTGTTTTTAGTTTTCACGGTGCTCCATGATTGTGAGAGGAAGAAAAGAATTGTGGACATCAGTACGAAGCGTGGATTCTTTCGACCAGAGTAGATACAATAATACTTCTCTAAAATTTGAGGAAAAATTCCAGATTCAGAATAATTACTCCAAGAAATGCACAGAGTGGCAGTCATGGAGTCATTAAATCAGGATTTATTCTGTGAACCTTTTGTTTTATTGTCAACTTTAACCTGGAGAATGAAACTGTAGTGAGATGAAAGCACGCTAGCAGCAGCCATCGTCTTCCTGCCTTCTCAGTGATCTGTCACTAAGGCCATGTTTGCGTCTTTTACAGCGGTCGGTGTGAACAGGAATAACAGAACGGTCCGAGCTCTTCTGCTGTGTGTAAGAATCAAAACGTAACCTAAAGTTACAAAGTCGTTTCCAGGAAATTAGGAGCAGACGTCCCACCTGAGGAGCAGGACAGGTCGTCCTCTTTGGGCTGGAAACTGTTGAGAATGGACACGAGCCAGGGCCAAACGCTGAGAGAGGAAGAGGATGCAGAGTTACAGCTTCAGTACAAACCTCTGCTGATTAAGAGAGAGAAAGTGGGCGGGACTTACTACTGCCGTTTAACAAGAGCGGCCTCGTGGAAGACGCTGGGCCTCAGTTTGAGCCAGTCCAGCGACACCTTGATGGCCGGCAGCGGACACTCGCCCATGATCTCCTCCCCGCGGTTCTTGTTGAGCAGCACGCGGCTGCACATGACGCCCAGGAAGGACACTGAGGAGACAGGAGACAGTTGTTGTAGGTTACACGTGTGTCACTGCACTTCTAATAAACATAAAAGCCACCATATAAATCTGACAGGAGCATCACTCAAACACAGCAGGAGCCATCGGCGACTCCGTCCACGTAATCGATCATTAACAGTTTTCAGTTCTTACTGAAAAGGCCGAGGAGCTGGAACCAGCTGATCTGCTGCTCGCTGCTGTAGCTCTGCTCGCTGCCGTCAGCCGTCAGGTCTCTGAGGTGGTGCAGCTCGAACAGGTTAATGACGGTGATGTGGACGAGCTGCTGAGAGCTGAAGGCTTTCTGCAGGATCAGCCTCTGCACACGCAAACACAGCAACAACCGCGTCACACAGACGGACTCGCACAGGTTTGCACGTCGCGGTGCGTCAAACGGCGTTTAGTCGTACCTGAAACTGCTCCTCCAGTTTCTCTCTCAGACCGTCCAGCTTGTCCAGACTCTTACTCAGGTAGACGTGACCGTGAAACTTGATGAAGGCCTTGATGAAATCGGACACGCTCCACTTGGTTTTCACTTCATCGCGACTGCGGGACCACAGAAGGAGGAGCGGAAATGAGACATCGTCACACTTCGAGGCAGTTTAAAGAGTTTGAAATCTTAGATCGTTTCCTTTGACTCTACAGCGTGTGGAATAGTGTTCGTGCTGTGAGCTAGTACCTCTCCAGAGCCTTGGACAGCGCCTTCTGCAGGTTGGTGGAGGCTGCTGGGAAGGGGAACTTGACTGCAATGCTGCGGCAGTAATAGAAGATGGTGGTGAGGTGGTCTCCTTTAGAGGAGGCCAGGATGGCCAGCTGGTTGTAGGGCTGACCTGCAGGAGACACGGAGAGGCAGCACATGAGCAGGGAAGAACTACAAACATGGCTGCTCAAGTCTCTCTCACTGCTGCTTCTCGTCGACACCAGAACACATAAATAATTTCTCTATATTATTCAGTATCAGTGTTTCACAGCAGAGCTTTTAAATGTCAGTAATTCATCTTTAACATCAGCTTTCCCTAACATGTGACACTATTTACAAGAGGCGGTAACTATAGCAACCCCAGCATAATCCAACCACATTTTTTTTCTCAGTACTTGAAAGCTGCGAGAATTACTCACGTATGACATTTAGATGAAACAACTCAGTGTTTGAATGTGTTTAGAGCTCGGCTGATAAAGGGACAGATTTCCAAAAACAGCTAAATCGGGGACTCACCGTTAGATGGAACCAGCTGAGCTGCGTGCCGGTAGTAGGACTCGGCCTGGCTGGTCTGGTTACGATATCGAGCTGAAAGACAAAGAAAATAAGCTCTGAAAAATCAACCCTGATATTCCTAGTCGGGAATATCAGGGTTGATTTTTCAAATGAGCTTCCCATCTTCTCACCGATGTCTCCGAGGTGGACGAGGCAGTGCTGGCAGATGTAGGAGCAGGAGCTGGGCTGAGGGGTGACGATGGCGCTGGTGTTGCTCTGCTTATTGCTGATGATGCCGAGCTGAGACGACTTCACGCGGCAGGGCAGGTCCACGTTGAACACGGTGCACAGCTCCTGCAGTAACTGGAACACAGCAGACGCAGCGAGACGTCGTTTAATGGTTTATATCAGTGGTGATGTGGGGCTTTAACTCCGTT